TATCTCAGTGTTGTGCAGGGATTGGTGCAGGGTCCACTTTTGTCCTTTGTATCTAAACAATTTGGATAAGAATTTAGGAGGCATGGTTCGTAAGTTGTCAGATGATATTGAAATTGGTGGTGTAGTTTACAGTGAAGACGGTTGTCTAAGATTACAAAAGGGTCCTGATCAAGTCAGCCAATGGGCTGAGGAGTGGCAGATGGCGTTTAATTTGGATAAATGTGAGATTAGTAAAATAAACAAGGGCAGGACTCGTACAGTTAATGGTAGGCCTGTGGGTAGTGTTGTCAAAGAGATTGAGGGATTCAGGTACATCGTCCTTTTGAAAGTTGCTTCACAGACAGGGTGGTGAAGAAGATGTTTCACACGCTTGCTCAGGCCATTAAGTGCAAGAGTTGGGACATCATGTTGAGGTTGGACAGGATGTTGGTGAGGCCGCTTTTGGAGTATTGTGTACAGTTCTGATCATCCTGCTATAGCAAAGATATTAAATTGGAGAGGATTCGGAAAAGATTTACCCGGATGTTTTTGGGAATAGCGGGTTTGAATTATAAGAATAGGCTGGGACATTTACACTGGAGCAGAGGAGGTTGAGGGGTGACTTTATAGAAGTTTATAAAATCATGTGAGGCATAGATAAGGTGAATAGTCAAGGTCTTTTCCCTAGCAGGAAGTGAGATCATAACTAGTGGGCATGTTTTTAAGGTGAGAGGAGAAAGATGTAAAAGGGACCTGAGAGGGAATTTTTTCACACAGAGGGTGGTTCGTATGTGGAATGAACTGTTAGGTGAAGTGGTAGATGCAGGTACAGTTACAACATTTAAACATTTGGACAGTTACATGAATATAGGTACACTTTTTAGGAAAGATTTAGAGGGCTATGGGCAAAACCCAGGCAAGTGGGACTAGGTTACTTTGGGAAACGTCATGGATGAGTTAGACCAAAGGGTCCGTTTTCTTGCTGTATGATTCTGTGAAAAAGATAGGGTCAGGTAAGGGGGTGTCGGAGGGCCTTTGCTTGGTGATAGGGCTAATTGCTTTAGAATGATTTGAAGTTTATTTTAAATAAGTGCATTAAGTGATAGGGAGCAATGTATATCAGAATTTTGACAATTGAGGAAGGAGCCTGATAGGGCGAGAAAGGGTGGTGGTGTGGTTGATCAGCATCTTAAGGTGCTGTTGAAGAATGGCCAGTGAGATGGTGCTAAATCAGTAATAACTATTTCCACAAAGTATTTGATTTTCATTCCCAGATCCAGGCAGAACCAATAGCCAGCTGGCAAATTACTAAGTTCTGAGAATTACCTCAAAAGTAGGATTTGCACTTCACTTCCTGTAAAGTTAAGGAGCTGCAACTCTAAGGACTTTTGCAGCATTGTGTTGTTTAGCAAACAAGTTTCAAAATTTTATTTAAGATATTTATTTTCGAAGAAGTGACACTTGAATATTATTGCAAAAAAAGTATTATCGAAACAAGATTGTGTATTCTGCGTATTACACAAAATACTTCCTGCAGCAACATAACAGTTTAAAACACTTGTCTTAACTTGTTTCTGGTAATATTCAATATTGAGTATGTGGCCTGTGTTAAGAATAAGGGAACTGTGTAGTATGGGTCCTTTTCACTATGAGCTCTTAAAGTACTGAAGTCAACATTTGCTTTTCTTCATCTGTAAACCTAATCAAAAATAACATGAAAGATCACTGAACAGAATAGTATTTTGCAGGAAGTTCTCATTTAATGTGGCACAGTGTTGTTTTGAGTTAACAATTTCAAATTAGTAGACGATTCTCCAACAGAAATTTGTATGACCTTGTCTTTATGCAGAAAGATGATGACATAGAAGAAGGGGACCTACCAGAACACAAAAGAACTTCTCCGCCGATAGACTTTTCCAAAATTGATCCCAGCAATCCTGAAAACCTGCTGAAGGCAACCAAGAAAGGCAAGACCTTAATGATATTTGTAACAGTGTCTGGGAATCCCACTGAAAAGGACACTGAAGAGATAACCAGTCTTTGGCAAGGCAGTCTGTACAATGCAAACTATGATGTACAGAGGTAAGTGTTTCAGCATTATGACTTAAGACAAAACTACAAAGAACCTTTGAATCAATAAAAACTAATTCTGAAGCTTAGTTTTCAGTTATCTTGATACTGTAACAGTATTATTAGATGATGGGAAATTATCTCCCATCTATGCTGAATGATGCACATTAAACAGATGTAAGTGAAATGGTGTCTGTAATCTAATTCAACAACAACAAATAGAAATTGCTGGAAAAGCTAAGCCGGTCTGGCAGCATGTGTGCAGGGAAATCAGAACAGTTCAGTTGAAGAGTCAATGGACCTGAAACATTAACTCTGATTTCTCTCCACACATGCTGCCAGACCTGCTCAGCTTTTCCAGCAATTTCTACTTTTTGTTGCAGATGCTGGAAATCAGAAGTTCTTTTGGTTTTTATTCCATAGTCTAATTGCACATTCAATGGTCTCGGCTTAAAAGTGGAACTTTTTTTTTATTCATTCTGACATTGGATGTGGGTATTACTGAAATTTCAGAGGGCATTTAAGAATCAACCACACTACTGTGGATTGGGACTGACGTGTAGGCCAAACCAAGGTACAATCCCAACCCAATCGTAAATGACACTAGGTGAACTAGATGAATTTTCACAGCAATGATGGTTTCATGGTCACTACTGACTTTTTCGGTTCCACATGTTGTTTTTCCAAATAGAATTTAAGTTCCAACCATAGCCATGGTGTGATTTGAACCCATTTCCTTTGAGCATTAGCATTTGGTTTAGTCCGGTGGTGGGGGGAGGTGGGGTGCTACTGCTATGGCAAAAACTTGCTCCATTTCTGTGAAATGTACAAAGTGAAAATGGATCCTGTGTGATAACTGTCATGGTTGAATAATCAACTGACGGTTGCTGCCTTTATTTTGCACATGAACAGCTGTTGCTTGAAATGTATAGTCGGATGCTGTTAACGGTTTTGGATCTGTACTACAAGATGGAGCCTGAGATCTGTCATCCCTGGAACCATTCTAATGAATCTCTTTCTGCAGATTCACATTCTTATGCAAGTACAAAGAATTGAACAAAATACTACAGTTGAACCAAACTACCTTTTTAATGGTTCATCATAATTTTGCTACATTTGTACATTTTGCCTTTATGAATTCCACAATCGTATATGCTTTTTTAAACCATTATAAGTTGCCAACTTCAAGATTTATATATCTCTCTCTCTCACTCAGATTGACTAGAGGGAACATTTTGCATCATTTCTGCTTTTAAATTTTCATAAAGTAAAACCTGCGTTTATGTTTCTCATCACCTTGGGCATCTTGTGCTTTAAAGCTCCTTTATTTTAAGTCTACTCAATATTGTATTGTAAAAGACATAGTTAATTTGTACATGAGCTTCCTCAAACTACACTGATATTGATCATACAATCTATTGTTTGTGATGTTGATTAAGGGGTAGGTAGAATCTCAAATCTTTACAGGGTAGGGGAAGAGGCCATTTGGCCTACCAAGGGAGATATGCGTGGAAAGTTCTTTACGCACAGGGTGGTGGGTGCCTGGAACGTGTTGCCAGTGGAGGTGGTAGAGGCGGGCATGATAGCGTCATTTGAGATGTATCTAGACGGGTACATGAATGGGCAGGGAGCAGAAGGATACAGATCCTTGGAAAATAGGCGACAGGTTTAGATAGGGGATCTGCATTGGCGCAGGCTTGGAGGGCTGAAGGGCCTGTTCCTGTGCTGTAATTTTCTTTGTTCTTCGTAAGTGTACACCAACCTTCTAAAGACCATTCTACCCAGAACCCACCCCACCGTTTCTCCATAACCCTGCATTTACCATGGCTAACCCACTACGCTGCACATCTTTGGACTGTGGGAGGAAATCAGAGCACCTGGCAGCAACCCACACAGACATGGGACAACGCGCAAACTCCACACAGACAGTTCCCCGAGGCTGAAATCATACCTGGGTCCCTGGCACTGTGAGGCAGCCACTGTGCTGCCCAGCATTGGCTATTCGCCAGAACCCAAGAAAGAAACCCAAGGTGTTTTTCAAACTAGTACCATGGGATCTTAATAGTACACCCAGGCAAGCAAATAATACCTTCATTTACACCTTTCCAAAAGACTGCATCTCAGATAATTCAGGCCTGCACCAGAGTGCTAGTCATTACTTTTAAACTCCAGCCTGATGTGGAAATTAAACCTGGAACATAGTGCCATTGTCACTCTGAATCACAATCAACTGAGCCACAGCTGATGCCTGGAATCTGCCCATTTTGGATGTCTGTTTGGTTTCTGTCATTCTATTAAAAAAAAATACTGTTTTTGTTTGTCTTCTCATACCTAATCCTTCTTGGCCTAGAGTCATGGTGAATTACAGTAGGTTAACATTGCAGATACAGCATGTAATTAAGACAAGTAGCATATTTTGTTACAAAGTGATTGGAATAAAATTATGTAAAAAAAAAAATTACAATTGTACAAGAACGAAGTGAGAAACCACCTGGCGTATCTTCTGCAGTTTTGTTATTCTTACCCAAGGAATGACATTTACCTTGGAAACTGTGCCTTGAAGATTTATTAGATTGATTCACTGAATGAGGCAATTGTTCTGAGGAGCCATTGAGTAGGCTAGCTTGCATTTGCTGAAGTTTAGAAGAATGAAAAGTAATTAATTGAAACAAATAAAATTCTTAAGCGACTTGACAGGGTAGATGTTAAGAAAATATTTCCCCTGGTTGGAGAATCTAGAACACAAGGTCACAGTTTTAGTAAAGAGTTGGCTAATAAAGACTGAGATAGGATGTACAGAAATTTCTCTTAAAAACTCATTTTTGCAAAAAAAAAAGTTTTTTTTTGGGCATCTCTGGCTCTTTTGTATCCTCTGTTTATCGACATGACAACCATTTGAAAGAGTTTATTTTTGTTTATTCTGTTTAAATCGTCTCTATTAAGCACTTTAATGAAATTTCCTCTTGGCGCCTTGGCTGTAAGGAGAGCAAGCCCCCTTTTCTCCATCTGTACAGGTAAAAGTCACCATAGCCGTCACTAACCTTAGGGCTGCTCTGTCATTAGAGAGAGATGACTAGTGGTGATTTAATCCAAGGGTTATCACACCTCGGGGGAGGGGTTGACAGGTGGGACTTCCAAAGTAACGTCTGCTGGTATGGGAATGAAACCCATGCTGTTGGTGTCACACTGTAACAAAAACCAACTGTCTAGCCAAATGAGCTAACTGACCAGTATATGGGATATTGTCCACTTTGATCAGAAGAGAAGGATACTATTTAAAAGTAGAAGCTCAAATGCAGGGTACAGAGGGATCTGTGTACCTTTGTACATTAATCTCAAAATATGTTGTGCTGGTACAGCAAGTAATTAGAATGACAGATACAGCATAGAAATGGGGAAGACTTGCTACAAATGTACAATGCAATGGTAAGACCATACCTCAAGGAACATGTAGCATTTTGGCCTTTTTTTTGGAAGGAATACTTGATATACTTGCATAGAAGGCAGGTTCATCAGATTGATTACTGGGATGAGATTTTCTCTTGTGCCCATGGGTTAAACGTTGGGGCCTTAACCCTTGGAGTCTAGAAGATGGAGAGATGATTTTATTGAAACGTAAGATTCTGACAGAGCTTGTCAGAGCAGATCCTGTGCAGAACCTGAGAGAGTGCTTTTAAAATATGTCCCCTCATTTCAGAAAACAAAGGGATCTCCCATTGAAGATAGATATGAGCAATTTTTCCCTCAGACATTGCTGTCTGGAATTTTCTTTTCCAGGGAGCTATGGTGGCTCAGTCATTGAATATATTTGAGACTTAGTTTTTGATTGACAAGGGAGGCAGGATTATGGGGAGCAGGCCAGAAAGTAGAGTTAAGGCCACAGTGAGATCAACTGTGATCTTGCAAAATGGTAAGATGGTAAATGGACAGGGTTGAGGGCCAAATGGCCCGCTCCTCCTTCTGTCTCTAATGATGTTGTACTCCACGGGCAGTTGCAAATCTGTGTTTTCTCATGTGCCTTTTGAAAGTCCCCGTGCATGACAGCAATTGCACAGTTTTTCTTATTCTCTGTTACCTCATCAGTAAAACACACAAGTTGGTGTCACATGATTTGCCAGTACTGTGTCTATGCTGGTTATCCTTTTATATGTCCATGTTTTTGAACAGCTTATTAATTTTCTCTAAATTAATGATTCATCTGTTGGAAAAGGATCCTGGGAAAATTTTACTTCATAAATTCTCCATTGCTTCTAAGTGACTGAATGAAGTGATGGGTATTGAGATGATGCTATTGTTTTAACTTTATTCTGATTCAGCAGAATTGACTAATTTAGGCAGTGATTTTTGTACTCCCTGTGGCCAGTGAATTGCATCTTAAACTTGCACAGTGACAAACATGGCAAACTATCATCTGGTGACTCAAGCCGTTTTAAGTTTTGGGTAAGGAGGGACGAACTAGCTCTCCTCCTTTATTCATCTGCCCCTGATTGGTCACAACACAATTAATTTTAAAAAAAGGATCCCTCCCTTGTGAATACCTTTGTCCCTACCAAATGAATTTGTTCAAAATAAACAAATTTAACAAAAGAATGACTTTAATTAGTAAATACAGAAAGAAGGAATAATATGGTACACAAATTAGGACTAAGGAGACAAAAAATTAGTGCTAAAAGATATTTAGGTCAGTGTCTCTCAGGGTCATTTGTGAAGAGTAGAATATTGATAGTTGAACAGTCAATTTTAGAATTCTCGGATTTTGCTGGTCACTTGAAATCCTTCACCTGTATTCTTTTAACAGTGGTTTTTTTGCTAGCATACCTTCTTTGACTGATACATGTAGATCAGGGTTGCATCTGGTTTTTAACCACAAGTTATTTGTATTTTCCTGGAAAGGCAGAAAACAAAAGACATTTTCAAGAGGCAGCTTTCTGCTGAGAAGGTGGGAGATCATCAGCTCTCTTCCTGTTACATGTCTATCCTAACATGTAGGATTTCTAACGCTGTATAGGTGT